TAAGGATTTCTAAAAGCTTTTTTTTTTTTTTTTGGTACCAGGGATTGAACTCAGGGGCACTCAACCACTGAGCCACATCCTGGCCCTATTTTTTGCATTTTATTTAGAGACAGGGTCTCACTGAGTTGCTTAGCGCCTCACCAGTTGCTGAGGCTGGCTTTGAACTTGCAATCCTTGTGCCTCAGCCTTCTGAGCCACTGGGATTACAGGCGTGAGCCACCATACCCAGCTAAAAGCTTTTCCCGGTGTTTCTAATCTGTAGCTCTAGTTGAAAACTCCCACCATACTCCCACCATTCTCAGGGTGTGGCCCATGCGCAAATACCATTTTTATTATCTTGAAGTTTGTTAGAATTGCAAAATCTTGTACTGGTGCACAACTATAATCCCAGTGACTCTGACTCCTCAGCTGAAGTTGGAGGATTGCAAATTTGAGGGCAGCCTGGGAAACCTGGTGAGACCCCTGTCTCAAAATAAAGGGCCAGGGATGTAGCTTCGTGGTAAAGCCTCTTCTGTCCTCTTAACTTGCTGCTGTTCTTAATTGTGAATCATGTACAGCTCAGTTTTAAAGAGCATGGCTAGCATGTGAAGGACCCTGGATTTGATCCCTAGCTTCACACACGCACACAAACACACACACACAAAAACCACAGACGCACACACAAAAAAAACCATAAAAGAACAAAAAACGTTTCCATAAGGGTGAGAGTATTGCTGAGTATAGCAGAGACCCATTTTAACATTGGGGGTATACCTTTGAATTAGTTCAGTCAATTGAAAGTTCAAATAGTGTTACTGAGAACTGCTAATACTAAACATAGTAGGGACTTGATATTTCTTGAAATGATCTGTCAGTGGCAGTTGCACTGGTTTTTTGAGGGAGGCATTTCAAAAGGGAGATTAATTTTTATTGGGCAGTTGCTATGTTCAGGCATCATTAGAAATGTCCGCACCTAGCCAGTGTGGTGGCACACACCTGTAATCCCAATGATGAGGCTGAGGCAGGAGGATCATTCAAAGCCAGCCTTAGCAAAAGTGAGGCGCTAAGCAACTCAGTGAGACCCTGTCTCTAAATAAAATACAAAATAGGCCTGGGGATGTGGCTCAGTGGTTGAGTGCCCCTGAGTTTAATCCCAGTACCACCCCCCGAGAAGAAAAAGAAATGTCTTCATCTGCCATCTAACCTCTCAAAACACTATGAGATAATGTGCTCTCATTTTATTAATGAAATTGAAGCCCCAAAGTAAATGATAATATTATAATGAATTTTATAAATTTACCCAGAGAGTCACTAAAGTTTTGGAGCTTGTAGATAGCTAAAAAATTATTTATTTCTATTAATTTACAAATGAAAACAGTGACAGGTTAAGTGATTCAGCCATTACATTGCTAGATACATGATTCTAAAACAAATATACTGTACTTAAAATATATGCAAAGTGTAAAAACTCAAAAGTCTGGAATCCTAAGGTTGCTAGACTATCCGTTTATTAACAAATGGTACTGTCCACAGTTGGGGCAAACAGATTCCTTAGACAGACTTTTAAATGTTTATCTCAGATCTCCCAAAATGAGAAAAACGTTTAGAAACCACACTCCTTTATTTGCATGATCCAATGTAAGATACAGTATATGTACTTTCCTATCATCAGTTAGGACAAGGTTTGCCACATAATTCACATTTTCTATAAATTATCAGAATGCCTTTGCTCTCCTATTTCTAAACCAGGAACTTGCCATCCTTGAGAAGACTGGCAGAGTTCTACATTGGTGCTAAACAGACCAAGGGAGCTGGAGCCAGTTTCTTACACTCATGCAAACATCCCAGTTCTTTCACAACATCCGATAAAAATGCTTAAGGCCTTTAATATATAGCTTCATCACCAGGAAGAATTGCTCTGCTTCTTGTTACTACATGACCAACGCTCGTAAAGTGTTTTCATCGGGATCCCTGCAAAGTATCGGTTTCCTTTTACCAATTACTTTGGTAGTTGTTGAGTCTCAGTGGCAAGCTCTGCTCCCTTTGTTTGAGATGTCCCCAGTGTGACCTCAGAACTGGCCAAAGGCCCACAGAAAAGGTCTAGAGGCTTTCATATAGTAGCCTGAGTTCTCAGGTTGCCCAAAACTCGATGTATAGGAAGAGGAGATGTCTCTGCCTCAGTGTTTCCCAAATTTGGCTGTTGATCAGTCATTGGAGAGCTTTTAAGAGGTACAGGTCCTAAGGCCACACCCTAAAGGTTATACATAATTTCTAATTTACTAAATATCTATCTAATGGGCACTTACAGCATACTAGACCCTTTTCCTCTGCTTTCCTCTGCCACGATATTCTGCATTACCTTGAGCCCCAAGAATTTAGAGCCAGCTATCTGTGGACTGAGACCTCTAAAATTGTGAGCCCCCAAATAAACTTTTTCTCCTCTAATTGTTCTTGTCAGGTCTTTTGGCCACAGCAGTGAAAAAGCTGACAAAAACAGGCCGAGAAGCTCTTGCCTGAGTTCATGCAGCTAGAAAGGGCAGAGCCAGGATTCCAACCCAGGCGTCTGGCTCTAAAACAAACATGCCTAACACTTTCTGCTTCTGGTTCAGTTGAAAATGGAACGGACATTATGCTTTCTCCTCATCCACCACCAATTTTGGTATAAAGCATATGGCACATAGCAATAAAGCTGACCCCCCCCCCCCACACACACACACAAAGGGCACATGCCAAGTATCAGGATTTAGAGATATTGGGGACAGGGGATGGGTGAGACTAAGGAGTAGCACAGGGAGGTCTCTGTGGTGCTGGAAAAGTTTGGTATTTTCATCGTGCATGGTTACACAAATCTTCCCATAATAAAATGGCGTCACACAGGACTGGGCTTGTGGCTCAGTGGTTGAGCACTTGCTCAGCATATGTGAGGCACTGGATTCAATTCTCAGCACCACATGTAAATAAATGAATAAAATAAAGGCATCTTAAATTTTTTTTAAAAAATGGCATCACACACTTTTGTACCAATGTCAGTTGCCTTGTTTTGATTTTGCACTAGAGTTGTGTGCATTGTGAAGGAAATTGGCTAGGGGGTACACGGGACTGCACTGTACTACTTTTGTAATTTCCTGCAAATCCATAATTATTTAAAAATAAAACAAGGATTGGGGTTGTGGCTCAGTGGGAGAGCGCTCGCCTTGCACGTGCAAGATCGTGGGTTCGATCCTCAGCACCACATAAAAATAAATAAGTGAAATAAAGGTATTGTATCCAATTACAGCTAAAATATAAATACATAAAAATAAAACATATGCCCATCTTTGGCAACCCCAAAATCAATTAAAGACCTGTCTTCTTTAAGATTGGCTTAAATTGCTGGATGTGATGACCGACACCTGTAATCCCAGACTCAGGAGGCTGAAGCAGGAGGATCTCAAGTTTGGGGCCAGACTCAGCAATTTATTGAGACCCCTAATGACTTAGTGAGACCCTGTCTCAAAATAAAAAACAAAAATGCCTGGGGATGTAGCTCAGTGGTAAAGTGCCCCTGGGTTCAATCCCCAGTGCCAAAGGGAAAAAAAAGAAAAAGAAAAAGTTGATTTAAAGAAATATCAAATATCATTCTTGAAAGATAAATCAGCAGTGGAGAAAGGCTCTGGGCAGAGCAGGGACACAAGGGTAGTTTCAGTTAACAGGAGCTGAGCAAGATGACCAATAACAAAGTCAAGTCCTTTGTTACCAAAGGAGTCAAAACCAAATACTTCTGTCTTGCTGTGATTCCCAAATGACTACTGCCTCACTGTCTAAGAAAGAACCACTAGGGAAAGAACTAAAAAACACAGAATCCCTATCCCCACACTTAGAGACCCTCACCTAGAGACTGTGACTCAGTAGGTCAAGGACAGTCTGTATTTAAAAAGCTTCTTAGGCTGGACTAGGGATATAGCTCAGTTGGTAGAGTGCTTGCCTTACATGCACAAGGCCCTGGGTTCAATCCTCAGTGCCCCCACACACAAAAAAAAAAAGGTTGTTAGGTGACTTGGGTTTGAGAATGTTCGATTAAGGAGCAGATGATAAAATGGATCTCCAACTAATATCATGTGAGTCAAACACCAAACCCTTGATTTTCATATGGTTGGATGGCTCAAAGAGCCATGAGTTACACTGACATCATATAAGGACATCCAAAGTTCATAAGGCCTTGCTATTTAGAAATAATGAAGTGTTACACTGAATTGTTCTTTTCTATTTTTATATTACATCATCCCTATTTGGTTATTTACCAAGCCTTTTTTTTTTGGAACTGGGGATTCAACTCAGGGGCACTAAACCACTGAGCCACATCCCCAGCCCTATTTTGTATTTTATTATAGACAGGGTTCATTGAGTTGCTCAGCACCTCACCATTGCTGAGGCTGGCTTTGAATTCAGGATCCTCCTGCCTCAACCTCCCGAGCTGCTGGGTTTACAGGCATGCGCCACCGCACCCAGTCTGGTTATTTACCAAGTTTTTCATTGTAGAAATGTACATATAAATCACAACATAATTCTATTACAAATGTTTTAGGGTTCAAAGTCCATTAGGTACATAGCCAAATTAAGAATGTTTTTGGTTACAAGTAACAACATAACCATCAATAACATAGAGAAACAAGGGGTCTATTTGTTTCATCTAGTAAGAAGTTCAGAGGTAGATAGGTAGTTACTGATATTGGTTCCATAGCTCAGAAGGTTGGGGCTGACATCTCAGCAGCTCTCTTGGTCTTTGCTTTGTGGCCACAAGATGATAGCTCCAGCTCCATCCTGTTTGCGTTCAAGACTAGATGAAGGGGACTGGACCCCTGGCATTCTGCTCCTGCCTCCACAGCCAGAATGCTATCTCATGGCCACTTCTGACAGCAACGGAGGCTGAGAAACTATTTCTCTTTTACAGTCTACAGTACAGGTAAGAAAGGGAAAAATGGAGGGGATGGGGTGTTAAATGAGCCAACTTATTGTGTCTGCCACAACTTTTAAACTAAGTGTTATCAAGCACTGTTTAATTAAGCCTAGAAACAGCTGTTTAGATGCAAAGACATAAATCATCATAGAAAATAATGATATGGAAATCAGACAAAAGCATCTCCACTGTCAGAAATATTACATATATATATTGGTCTTTCGTTCTCTGTTGGAACAGATTCTAGTTGTTGAAGAACTTCTGTTCCTTCAATCAATTGCCTATGTAGGAGGAAAAAAAAATGTCGTCAGTTATAAATTTCCACATTTAGCTTACATTGCCAAATGCAGTCCTACCCAACAATAGCTAAGGCTATTTCCTACAAATTAAATTCACTTCGGTCATAAATATCTTAAGTGGCTTATCTTAAATATCTTAAGTATTTAAGATGTGTCCACCTTGCCACATCTACAGCCAGCACCACCTCCCAGGCTGCAGTCCCCCGCTATGTATAGGCTGCCCTGCTCTAGAGGCTCCTCCTTGGCTTCCCTGCATCTGCTCTGGTACCTGTCCCATCCCTTTTCACTGCAGTCACAGGGATCTTTCATAAATACAAGTCTGATGTCATCTTCCTGCTTAAAACACTTCAGTAATTTCCCATTATCATATGATAAAGACAAAAGTTCCCACTATTTCCTACCAGGGGCTATGTGGCCTGTCACCCACTGGCCCTCAAGGATGTCTTGCTGAAGTCTCCCTCTTGCTCTCTGCTTCAACCAAATTGGCTTCCACTACTGCAAGAGCCCCATGTTTCCTTCCTGCTACAACTGTCCTCCTCACCCGCTTACCTGGTCATTTCCTGGCCTTCTTTCAAATCAGCTCAGACCTCACTTCCTTGGGGAAGTTTCCCAGGTCCCTATGAAATTCCCCCTCACCTTTTGAGGAGTTCCCAGGGTGAAATATTACATTTATTGACTTGTATCCTGTTTGGTTAACTTCTGATTCTCCCACAAGGGCAAGGATCCCACTTTCACTCAGTGCTCAGTGCCTAGCATAAAGCCTGGCACATTCTAGACTCCTAACCAACATCAAGTGCATGAATAAAAGCTTAAAGTCATGCTGGTTTACATCTCTTACTTGCCAGCTGTGAGCTAGAACTCCATGAGGAGCAGACCTAGACTTTTAATGTTTCTTTCAATTAAAACAGAACAATATGAAGCAGAGAGAAAGGCCTAGACATAGAACCAGTGCCTTCTACTAGTACTTGGGTTGGAACAGTGGCTGAGGGAAAGGGAGCAATTTCCATTTCATGATCCTTTCCTGGGATGGGGTCAGTGTCAATACCAACCATGCTCCTCTCTTAGTCTGCCTCTAGGCTCTGTTTTGCCATCCCAATCAGAAACCGGAACAGAGTCCATGCTAGGGTTTGAATGCCCCTTTCAAAGCTCATGCTGGAATTTCATTGCCATTGTGATGATATTAAGAGGTAGAATCTTTAAGAGCTGATTAGGTCACCAGGGCTCTGCCTTCATGAGTGAACAGGAGTGGGTTGTTAGCTCTGCAGTAAGCTCCTGATAAAAGGATGAATTCCACCTCCTTTTTGTCCCCAGCTTGTTCTTGTTTCTCTCATGCTTTATAAGCATTTCCACGGGATGCCCACCACCATGTTACAACATTGTGTGAAAGCCCTCAGCTGATGCTGATGCCATTCTCTTGGACTTCCCAGCCTCCAAAAAAAAAAAAAAAATCTGTTATTTATAAACTATCCAGTCTTTGGTGTACTATTAAAATAACAGAAAATTGACCTAGACACTGGCAACACAAGGTATAGTCTGAAATTAAGAGCAGAGGATAAATGGACAGATTCACCTGTTCAAAGAGAGCATGAAGCGTATTCTCCATGTCAAATTTTCACAATTATCGAGAACTTACTATGTGTAAGAGTAGGGAAAGAGTGAGACTGTTCTCTGCTTTAAGTTGTTCACAGTGTGCCAGAAAGCACAAAAAAAGCCATCTGATTTTGTTAATTAGGGGGGTTTCTGACCTAACCCTTGAGTAGAATTTTGAAAGATGAAAGGGGGGCAAAAAGGAATAAGATGAGCAAAGCTTAGAGTCTGTCCCAGGATGATGGTCTTATGGTCTGGCTATAGATCACCTGCCAATACATATCTTCAGCCCTGACCTCATTTGAATATCTACCTCTGTGATGTTGCCAACTGGTTTTCCTGTAGGAATCTTGATCTGAAACACAACTTGTCCAGCTTGAATTCCTGATCTTCTCTCCCAAATCCTTCTCCTTCATATACTCTATCTTAGTGAATGGTACTAACTGTCCACGGTTTTGTTTTCTTTTCTTTTTTAAAATACTTTTTATTAGCTGTTGATGAACTTTTATTTATTTATTTGTATGTGGTGCTGAGAATTGAACCCTGTGCCTCACACATGCTAGGCAAGTGTTCTACCACTGACTGAGCCATAATCCCAGCCCCCATCCATCATTTTCAAATCCTAGGATTGCTATAGACCTGCACTGTCCAGTATTAGATTCTAGTCTCGTATGACTATTTACACTTATTTAGAATCAAGCAAAATATGGTTCCTTACTTGCGTGAGCCAAACTTCAAGTACTCAATGGCCATGTGTGCCTGGTGGCTAACTCCTGGGAAGTACAGATTATAAACTATTTTCATCAACACAGAAAGTTCTACTGGTCAGCACTGATCTGGATTCCTGCCAGGCTCTCCCCCTCAACATCTAACAGTCATCCAGACCTATGAATCTCAGTATTGCCTGGATTTGTCCACTTACCCTTGCTCATCTGTACTGCCAGTACCTTACATCGGGACTTCATTTATGGTCTGCTATGACCAGAGCTTCTTAACTGGCCTCTCTACTTTCATTTTCATCTTCTGCAATTAATTGTTCACTTCTTCTAAAAATATCTTTTCAAAATGAGAAGCTGCTCACAATTGAAATTCTTCTATGTTCCCCATCACCTTGGGCTCTGGGCTCTGGCTATTCCTCTTCTCTAGCCTCCACCCTCCCTCTCCATTTCCTGGGCAAGAAGCTCCAGCTAGACCAGAAATAACTTGTAGACAAGACGTTCTTCTTACTCCTTAGATGCACCCCAGATGTTAAGAGAAACTCCTTAGGGTCTCTGCAAGAGTGCCTTCATTTTTCTTCTTTTTTTTCCTTTTTTCTTTTTTGATACCAGAGAATAAATCCAGGGGTGTTTAACCACTGAGCCACATTCCTAGCCCCCTTTTTATATTTTATTTGGAGACAAGGTTTCACTGAGCCACTGGGATTACAGGCATGCACCACCATGCCTGCCTCCTTCATTTTTCCTAAAACTGATTTTTCTAATTGTGATTTCCATCTTTCTCTATTACTCTCACTTTCCTTTCTCAGCTCACCTTCTCATAGAGTTTTCCATGACCACTTCCCATCATAATGCCCTCTTAAAATGAAATTAATCCCCCTCACCCCATCCCCCTGATATATCCCCCTTCTTCCAACCATATGAATGAATGGAGTTCTTACAAGCTTGCATTGTGTTATCCTTTCCCTGTGAGGCACTTCTGTGTAGTGTGGCAGTCTCTCCTAAAGAGTATATTCTCAGTGTCATCCATCTGAAGAAGGAGCAGATTTACGCACCAGAAACTAGAGCTTGGAGCTGGGCATGGTGGTGCATGTCTGTGATCCCAGCAGCTCGTGAAGCTGAGATAGGAGGGTTACAAGTTCAAGGCCAGCCTCAGTAACCTATCGAGGCCCTAAGCAACTTAGTAAGAGCCTGTCTCAAAATGAAAAAAAAGGGGGGGGGGCTGGGGATGTGGCTCAGTGGTTAAGTGCCCCTGGGTTCAATCCCCGGTACTAAAAAGGGAAGGGGAGGGGAGGGGAGGGGAGGGGGGGAACTAGAGCTTGGAAAGACCAGTCTCCAATAGAGAAGAAACTTCTTTCTCTCTCCAAACTTTGCTAATCACATCTGGATTTCAGGAGTTGAGGTACACCCCAGATGTTAAGATACACTAGAGAAGAGACTTGGAAGGAAGTTGTCCCTGGAGGAGTCATATTTCATCTAGTTTAACTAGATTACCTAGTTGCCTATTGCATCATTATCTTTCTACATCTCCTTTAGTGTTCTGGTTTAACTATTCTAGCCAAGCTTCAACTATGGTTCGGAGATGTAAGGGATCAAGTGAGAGCAGACTTGGGCCAGAACAATAAAAGGGATGCAGTGCCCCCCTGAGGCCAGAGTGGTGATGACAACAAAATTAGAGATTTCCCCAAAAGGAAGGTCAGTCATGAAGACCAGGAATTCCTGAAAAAAAGAACAACACTATTTCACTCCACTGCCATTCTGTAAGGATCACTTTTATTATTATAGGAGTGGGGGTGATGTCTCAGTCCTGCCTCAAATGTTCCCGATGCTCCCTCTACTGAACTTGTACAACCCATGTCTCACTGTAATACAGTCCCTGCATTTTGATCTGCCTTTCCTAATGCACTCTAAGCTCCCTGAACAGCAGGAATTGTGCCTCGTTGCTCTCTGCCCAGCACTGAGCATCAGGACTGGCATATGGCATGTACCTAATAAAATTCTGGTTGAAAGATTCAGGAAGCTAGTAATGAAGTGATGACTGAGAAAAAGGCATAGGGTCAGAGATGGAGGGACATGGAATGCTAAGCTAGACTGTGGGTACTAAGGATTGGTGGGAAGGGTGGTGATGAAGGCATTAAAAGCTTTAGAGTAGTCGTGTTTGTGTTGAGAAAGAAGTGTTCTCTCTTTAATGAGAGAAAAAGGAACATTAAGTAGAAGGGGTAGAGTGTCAGCAAGACAACAGAAAGATTTCAGTAGTCCAAGAAAAAGTGAGGGTTATTTGGATTCAAAACTAATCCAAGAATGAATGTGTTTTTAAAATCAGACTACAGTTTTTTTAGTGTGAAGGAAAATTGAAGACAATTCATTATTTTGGGCTATGCATCTATGAATGTAAACTCATCTTTAAAGATATCTTTTGGATAAGAATATACTTTCTTGCCAGGTACAGTGGTATATGCTTGTAATCCCAGTGGTTTAGGAGGCTGAGACAGGAGGTTCATGAGTTCAAAGCCAGCCTCAGCAACTGGTAAGGTGCTAAGCAACTCGGTGAGACCTTGTCTCTAAATAAAATACAAAATAGGGGGTGCTGGGGTTGTGGCTCAGTGGCAGAGCGCTTGCCTAGCATGTGTGAGGCACTGGGTTCAACTCTCAGCACCATATATAATAAATGAATAAAATAAAGGTCCACAACATCTAAAAAATTATTAAAAGATAAAATACAAAACAGGGCTGGGGATATGGCTCAGTGGTTGAGTACCTCTGAGTTCAATACCTGGTATAAATATATATAGAGAGATATATATCTTAGCATTCCATGTCCTTCCTATATATATTTATACACACACACAAAAATAGAATATTACCATGACTTGTCTAAAGGGTTTCTGTGTTTTTATGAAGCTTTTTATGAAGCTTCTTATAAAATATTTACTTTTAAAAATGTTTGTTTGTCTTTGTATTACTTTTACTTTTAAGCCCTGTATTAGGTACTCACAGATTATGTATAATACACATCAAAATCTTTGGAATGACATTTTTACATGTGTGTGAAATATACTATATAGACATCTATAAGGTACATACCCAAAAGCCACATATTTTTTATCCAGATAGGGAGCTGCTTGTAGGGTGATATAGAATTGTGACCCATTGGTGTGATGGCCTTGGTTGACCATTCCAAGAACTCCTCTTCTATTATGAGGAACTGAAAAATTTTCATCTAGGAAAGAAAATAATAAGTCATTAAAATACTTCTATTAAGGTACAAATACAACCTTAGTGACAATCTTAATTGTAGATTTCCTATTTTTTTTTGTTTTGTTTTAGTTGTAGATGAACACAATACCTTTAGTTTATTTATTTATTTATCTATGTGGTGCCGAGGATCGAACCCAGTGCCTCACACATGCAAGGCAAGTGCTCTACCATTGAGCCACAACCCCAGCCCTTCATATTATTTTCAAACATGCAAATGACAAGAAAATTAAGCTGTAAAATCTTACTAGAACTATTTGACCACTTAGTTCTACTTGAACTTTACCATGGCTAAAATCAAGTGTGCTAAGGAAATTAATAATGTAAGAGGAAACATATTTGCTTACAAATACAGGTCAACAAAATTTCTTGTATTGTTTTCTCAGCAGTATTTCATTCAAATCACCAATGTGGTCATTAAAAATATCACTTTAGAAAAAAAATCACTTCTGAGAAGTCTCTCCTGGGCATCCTGCTCATAGCTCTGTGACAGCCCTGCTACACTCTGCATAGTCACTAGTTTCCAGGTGTTTTCTCTCTCCTGTGGGAAGGTAGGGCCTTTGTCTCATTTTAGCTTTTGCTGTAGGACCCTAGCACATTAACTAGCTTAGGTGTAACCCTAAATGTTGATGATGCAGAAATTAATTTAGGCTTATTTTTACTTATATTTCAATAAATTTTAATCTCAATCCTTACATAGATTGATAAGATTTTGTGGAAAGTGATGTTTTTTTGTTTTTTTTTTTTAGTGTAATGTTAACAAGTAAAAAGAATGTACAGTGTTTTCAGGCTACCATTTTGGGGAAGAACCATTCCCGGCTTTGCCTCCAAGCTCAAATATACAAAAAGACGTAACATAATAAATTCAAGAGTCTTCCTCAATAACTACATAGAGTTCTGAAGATAATTGAGGGATATGAATATTAATTATCAATATGATTTTATTACATGCATTTGCTGACTGTTCTTATTTTTAAGTTCCAAACAAAGCAGACTAAGCAAAGCAGTAATGTTGGTGGTGGTGACTTTTAGCTTCTTAAATTTTACACTGAATAAAGATTTCCGAAATCTTATGAAATGCAAATAAGACAGTTTTTACAAGTGAGTCTATATAATTACATCAATGCCCCATCTTAATTTCAATGGAATAAATCATCCATTAATAGAAAATCAGATGGAATGGAAAATCTGTCCAATGCAAAGATTCAGAGTGTTTTTAAAAACTGGTATTTATCATTTGCTCTCAGAAATTATGATTAATCTTCCTTATATTGTGTAAGTACCAGGAAAGAAAATTTATAGAGATGTAACATTTTATCAAAAATTCTGTGATTATGGGGAGTTTTAAAGCAATAAATCATAATATCTATTTTTTAAAAATGCTACTTATATGGAAGCCCATGCATAAAACAGATTTTAAAAAACAAAAAACAAAGGCATAGAGCCCTCTCACTGTCTGAAGACACTTCCTCAGGTCCCCATGGAACTCTATAGAGGATAATTTGAAAGCCACTGCTATAAAGAGACAAGAGAAAGTATGTTCTTAAAAGATGTAGGGAATTCCTGATTTACAAAGTTAAAATATACAGACCTGAAAAAAAAAGTGAGAAACTATATGACTACTTTATGGGTTGTATTAATACAAAATGCTTATATGAATCTTAGGGACCTAAAGCTATGCTGTTTCTTTACAGGCAGTGACAGCAGGGCCAAGGGCACTGCCCAGTGGTCATGTCACAGCCAGGTCTACTTTATATTACTATGACTAAATCAAATGAAATAATGTGGGAGGGTCAGGTGTGGTGATGCATGTCTACAGTTCCAGCTATTTGGGAAGCTGAGGCAGGAGGATCCCATTTGTTAAAGACTACCCTGGGCCCGATGAGGTGGCGCATGCCTGTAATCCCAGCAGTTTGAGAGGCTGAGGCAGGAGAATCCAGAGTCCAAAGCCAGCCTCAGCAAATTAGCAACACCATAAGCAACTCAGTGAGACTGTTCTCTAAGTAAAATTTAAAAAGGGCTGGGGATGTGGTTCAGTGGTTAAATATCCCAGAGTTCAATCCCTGGTGCCAAAAACAAAACAAAATAAAACAAAAATCACCCTGGGCAATGTAGCAGGACTCTGTCTCAAAAAAAAATTTTTTTTGTTTAGAAAGTTTTTTAAAAATAAAATTATGTATAAGAAAGAACCCTATTTGCTCTAAATAGGGTTCAGACCTAAATACAGACCTATAAAGTATTACAATGCAAAGATCAGTGTTGTTTTGCCACATTTCTTAATGGTTCTCTGATCTGCCCACCTTTCTGTATCTCTTTTTTTCCCTTTGTTTTTATTTTTATTTTTTTCTCTGTATATTTCAATCTTATCAACCACTCTTCTTTCCTTCTGCTTCCTTATAATTTTCTACAAGCTCCCATGAATCTCTAAACTTTGAAATTCATACATTTAAAAAAATATTTATTGATGTAAAGTTCCTGAGCTTTTTCCTAATATAAATAGTTAATTTCATTTATCATTTAAACGTTGCTTTACACACCCAAGAAAGAAAAATAAGTCTTATGTCAATTAATGGCACTGCTGAAGGGGGTTGAACCTCTTTAGGCTTACCTAAATTAACAGGGCAGCAGCCCAAGTAGAGGGATTTTACCTTCTATTTGGTAAGGAGTGAGATCATTGGCCTTTAGGTAGGTTTGAATTGAGTCCTTTCTCCCTGAGTGTTTCTGCCAAGGATAAAGCATGTATGAAACAACCAGAGAGAACCCAATAGAAAAAAAAAAAAAGAGAACCCAATAGATGAAATTTGCCTAAGCAAAAAGAGAAGATATTTATTTAGGGTTTTTTTGTTTTGTTTTTTATTTTTTTTTTAAGAGAGAGAGAATTTTTTAATATTTATTTTTTAGTTTTCGGTGGACACAACATCTTTGTTTGTATGTGGTGCTGAGGATCGAACCGGGGCCGCACGCATACCAGGCGAGCGCGTTACCGCTTAAGCCACATCCCCAGCCCATCTATTTAGGGTTTTAAAGTTTTGTTTCAAAACAAAGTTGTCGGGAGCTGCTCTGGAAATACACCCCCTGAGCAAGAGATATTGAACAATAATTGAGCCCCACTATAAATTGGGCCTTACTTCGGCTTGGATAATGAGGCTCCAGGAGTAGGTGTTACCCAGTGGGGTTGAGTTACACTCACCTGTTCCTTTGTAATCCTGCCTTTTGCCTCATTTGAATGGCTTCTCCCCAATAAAACTGGGTTCAAGGTGTGCCTCTCTTTTTCTTGCCTGCCTCGCCTCCTTTGTGGGAGCTGGGTCAGAGGAGCCGTCACAGAACCCAAAGAAAACGGTATTTCTCTGTCTTTGTGTAATTATTTTGTGCCATCCCAGTTCACCTGGAGTGACCCTGAAGGGTATGCAGTTCAGTGCTAAAGCACTTGCCTAGCAGGCTCAAGGGCCTGGGTTCAATCTCTAGCACCACAAAAAGAAAAAAAAAACCCAAACAAAGCAAACAGACTCTCCAAGTTTAAAAAGATTAACCCATTAATACAAAAATGAACTGAAATTATATATTATTTCATTGTTTTTAAATTCACCTTATTATGCTTAATGAAATTAAGTTTTATACTTGGGGTTGTTTTAACAAGTTTTGGACTTAATTCTCCATGTTGTGGAAAGAGGGCTAATCAGAGAAAAGCAATGGAAAGCCTGGCTGTCCACCATATTAATGTTTCCCAGGGGTAAAAGGAGAGGAAACCCAGCTTTGGCTGTTTTGAGGATCAGCCTTGCTCTTTTTCACACTCATCTTTCCCTCTGGAACATGGCTCCCTTTCATTTGGTTGCTTATTGAACATTTTCTAATTCTGTGCTGCCAGACCAACTGCAGTTACAAAGGCTTTGCTGAGCACTCTGAGCCTCCATGGCTGCCAGCAAGACAGCAAGGTCTCCATGGGTGGACTGCACATCAAACAGTCCAAGAATGGAAGCTGGGGACAACCAATGGAGTGTCTAGAGGGCCAGGTGAGGAGATTATCAGAGACCAGTTCCCCATGGAGCAGGAGGTCCACATTCTGAGGCTGTGCCACTGTGCACATAATTTGGGCAATCTGATTGTGACATGGTGTTGGGATGTATGGTAAATTCTCATCGGGGATTAAGGAAGCCAGGAAAGCTTCCAGAAGGGTCCTTTCCCATCTGCAGTGTCTTCTTTTAAGACCCAACCCACCAGCTTCCCTGTGCTGCAGCCTCCGACAGTCCCAGGCAGCTATTCTTTCCTTTCTCACAGCATTTAGTTCTATCCTCCATAACAGCACCTGGGGGTGGCATCTGTATCTGCTTAAACATCTGTCTACATGAAAACATGGACATTCTTCAGGGAAGAAACTTGGTCATATAGACTTTGTTTTCTCAGATCCTAGAATCATACAGGCACCGGCCTAGGAATCTAATGTTGTGTGAATGTATAAATGGTGTTTCTTGAATGTTTTTATTTCATAAAGGTGAACAAATTTTGAACAAATTTTGAAGAAAATTAGTTATTACTTTTCCCTTTTAATGTGGCCATTGGTTCATTAAGATTTTTTTAAAAACCTTTTTATTAATAAAATACAAATACAAAAGATCAAAGAAAACTAATGTTTAGTTAAAGAGTACTTATAAAACACTTTTAATTACCACTATGGCAGAGAAAAGAACTTTGCTAGCCTCCCCCAAACTGCCTTGTCAAACCCCTCTCTCACCTAAAATAACCAGTCCCTTGACTATTGTAAAATCATGAACATAATGTCCCCCACACCACGCTTTTTTTTTTTTTAAGTGCTGAGGATCAAACTTAGGGTTTCATGCATGCTCAACAAGCATTCTACCACTGAGCTACATCCCAGACCATAACATTTCCTTCTATAGGAGTTTTATCATCCAAATGTGCATCCCTGTGCACTAGAGTTTGGTCTTTCCCATTTTAAAAGACTTGTCAGTTTGGGGATGTAGCTCGGGACAGAGTATTTATCTAACATCCACAAAGCCCAAGGTTTGATCCCCAGCACTGAAATAAGAAGAAGAAGAAGAAAAAAAAAAAAAAAAAAAGACTTGATATGCCTTTTAAATCTCTATTAACCTGAAGGTTTTACCTCTATCCTGTCATTTCTCTATACTTCATTAAAGAACCTGAGCTATCTAACCCCTAGAATATCTTCAAGTCTTTAGTTTGCTGATTTCACACCTGTGCAGCAATGTACCATTACTATAGTTTGGAACTCAAATGTCCCTTGTGAGTGTCCCCGCCCCATGGTGGTGGGATCTTTGAGGTGGGAGAAATTCAGATCGTTGGGGATATGAAAGCATGGCCTTGAGATGGATAGTGGAATCTTAGGTCCAATATCTCTATTTCTCTCTTACACACATACACACTTCCTGCTGCCATGAGGTGTGCAGCTTTGCGCCACCATGTGCTCCCACCATAATGTTTTGCTTTGTCACAGGCCCCAAAGCAATGGGTCCCCCCAACCATGAACTGAAATCTTTGATACCATGAGCCAAAATAAACTGTCTTTCTTTTAAGTTGATTATCTCAGATATTCTCTCATAGTGGTGGAAAGATGAATGTTTTTCTGTCCTCTGTCCTATCAGCTCTGCTATAACACTTGTTTCAAAATGCAAAATTGTTTCAACTTGATGGAAACAACTTGAACACCATGAATTTCACCCATTTCCTGTGCTTCCTCGTTGAGAAACACAAGATGAATGAAAACTCTACCCAGATGGAACAAACACATTTCAATCATCTACCAGCTAACTCAGGGCGAATCATGAGCCCCACTATGTCATCCTTAATAGTAAAGGAGAGCGGTGAAGCCCTGTGTCCCTGAAATGCCCCTTTCCATTCCCAAGAACCTAACCAAGTTAAGAAAACAACATAAGTGGGCCTAGACTGGAATGTCCAAATAAATACTATCTTGAAGGACAATGACTCTTTCTCATGTGTACTGCAAATAGGGTAAGTCAGTGTTATCTGTAGGAATGGCTTTCTTGCATGTATTCCAGGAAACTGTTCCTTGGAATGCTGGTCAAACAAGGAACAAAGCAAACTAATCATGTCACTTTTTCTGTAGCCTAACTTACAAAACACCTTTCCCAGAGATAATTGGTGTAGAACTGGGGACACTGTGGAGAGGATTAGTACCATTCATCCAGCCCCCCGACACTGGATAAGGTGTCACGAGGGGCAGAGGTGCTATTTGGCAAAGTACCATGAGGGATGGAGGTGATCTCTGTCCAGCCTATCAAGTGGACTTTCTGAAGTAGTTTTTGAGGGATGAAGGCACTATTTGGTGAAGCACTGTGAGAGACAGAGGTGCCAAGGTCCAGCCTGTTGCCACTGAACCTTTTGCGTAAGCATTTTCAATAAGCCTTGTATCTTACATGCTGTTTTCAGGTTTTTCTTTTTTTGGTCTCTTGGTAACCTATCCCACTGCCCTAGCACAAGTGGGCTGTGGTCTCAACACCCACCCACCCACATTTGGTTGTTCTGATCTCCAAAAACTTTCCTTCCACTTTGACCAAATCAAAGCATCAACTCTTCCCATGCCCACCTCCACAACAAACTTCAAGTCTTTTTCAAGGTAAAATTTATTATAGTATTTATGTTTCTTGATCATTTAATACATGTAAAATAGTGTTACTTTTTTTTTTTTTAGATTACTGTGTGTGTGTGTGTGTGTGTGTGTACTGTCAATGGACCTTTATATTATTTATTTATATATGGTGCTTAGAACTGAACCCAGTACTTCATTCACACATGCTAGGTAAGCACTCTACCACTGAGCCACAACCCAGCCCCTACTGTCTTGTTTTTTATTGTGACACTGATGACCTTTTTGTAACCTCATTTTTACCATACATTTTTGCCTGTAGTTTTTACTTCATGGTGTTATATGGTGCAAATATTTCTTTGTAATATATATCACATTATAACTGAACGGATTGTATTTCTTGAACATTGGCTGGGTCCAGAGAATCAGGCTCATGTTCTGTTCCTTCGCTAGTGTGTTCTTTCAACAGAAGGCACAGAATGTCTCTGATTTTTTTTGTCTCTGATTTGGGACATTAATAGATATTGATGCGGCAAATGCCTACATGCATTATATCACTGCAGGCAGCAAAGGGGGTGCTATTCTATTATTTCCTTTTCATTTATTAATTGGAATATTTAAAGAAATAGATGTTTTCCTTTATCTATAAGTTCATACAGTTCATATAGGAAAAGCAGGAAAAATGTTTGATTTTTTTCTCTATTTTTAGCAGTTTTCAGGATAATGAATTCTTTTCCTATCATTCTCCCAAAGGTAACCAATTAGGTTTTATTTAATAATTTAATATAATTATGAACTCATAGATTAAAATATTTGACAAGTTTTGGTCAATTGCTATTACTATTCTTTTTGAAGTTCAAATTATTCCATCTTTGGCCATGACAGCCTCTTCAAATTGACCTCTGGGGCCTTTTGTCATGACCTTAGTAACTTTCATTGTGTTCTTGTAATCTGTTAGAATATGAGGTAGCTAATAAACTGGGATTTATCCTGGATAAAGAAATAATATAATTAGGCAAGTAAAACAAAATATGTGCTCAAATTGTTCTGGACCAGGCTTATCCCCATAATTTTTAACTATATGTATATATATGCACACGTATAAATATAATAATATATATGAATATATGATATATACATATTAACATATATATATACTGATATATGTGTGTGTGCGTGTGTGTGCGTGTGTGTACCTAACACTATCTTATTTGGAGTTGTGAAAAATCTAGTCTTATGTGTCTTTAAATGTGTCAGTAATGTATTAGTGGATTATTCAAATTTAAGAGAACTAGATGTTTAAAACACATACCTTCAAATGTTGGTCCATAAATAGACTCTCCATTATCTCCTCTTCCAGCTACTATGTCTAAGAAATAGCAGTAAGTAAACAGAATTTTGAAGTTAAAAAAGTTAGAGTGTAGTAATGATAGGTGGGAAAAGATATTTTAAAATTATGATTATACTTTTACCAATATCTAGAGTAAGTCACCTGTTTAATATCTAAACCATGAAAATTTTACCATAATAACTTCATGTGTATTTTTTAATGATTTTTATTTTCAGGATTCCATTTTATTCTTATAAAACTCTCTGATGTAGCTTAAACTACAGTGCAAAACCTTTGAAATAATGAAGTATTAAGTTACCATTGTGGTCATGATTTTAAAAAGTGTTCACATAAATTCTGCTTACTTCAAAAGTTATCCCATAGACCTCCTTGCTTTTCAGAGAAACAGGGAGATTAAGCTAGGAGGATAAAATAGGAAGAGTAAGTTCTTCTTAGAGTGTGACTAAAAATAGGTGCTCTAAAAAGAATACATGTTCAAAATTTCATTACTGTGGTTCCCCTGTTGAGATAACATTCATTTCCCCAATATTTTGGAAATAAAATTCCTTATAATGTAATGAGGTTCTCTTAGGTATTTATAAGACATGCATATTTTGGCTTAGGCATGCTCCTACTATAAAAAGACTCCAGGCACAAGTTATTTTATATCTATCCACAGTTGAAAAGAAGACATGTCTGTCTTCTATACCCCAGACTCCTCATCAGTATTCTTTCAATATTCTGATCCACCCCCCTCTTCTAATAGTGTTAAATAAACATTTTTTGAAGGACTATTTTAGCCAAGTAAGAGCAATCATCTCTAATAAAAGTCTGCTAATTTTAAAGAAATCTGATACAACATTAAGCACGTGGAGAGAATTTATTTGGAAAAGAAAATGTAGAATTTAAGTTATACTATTCGTAAAACTGGTTCAGAGGTTAATCGATAAAGTCTTAAATCTAAAACCCTACTTGGCTTAAAATTCCGGATGGATATGTAATGTCTGAAGGCTAAATCTGGAAATGGGGAAGTTAAGGTTTCTGATTTCCAATCTTTGGATCCTAGTCTGCTTTGTTCAGGAAAGTCTGCCCAGGTGGATACTTTCCCCTTCTAACTTACCTAACATCAGTCATACTCCTTTGCCTCATCTACCTTACACTCCCCAAAGTTCCTCTTGTCCTCCACATCAGATGTCCCAGATGAATGTTTATATTGACACCATTTCAATCAGTATTTACTACTATTTTTGGTGGCCATAACCCACTCACTTGAATTCAGCCTTATATATGATATTATGCCTGTAACTCTGACAACAAATTTAGAGATGCCAAATAGTGGCTAAAAGTAAATTTGAAGTCAGATGATTATGATTGAAATCTTGACATTAGTTACTTTTCCCAAGCCTCTTCCTTGCCTGTATAAACAGAGATACCAGTAACTGCCTCACAGGTGGCTCTTAGGATTAAGTGAAATGACGAAGGGCAGTACCTGGCAGGGTGGCATGCTCATTCATCAGTGGCTGCCACTACAGTGTAGAATTCCATGATTATAAAATGCATCCATTTACTATCATAATCTTCATAATGTTCAACATGATGATGATAATAATAAGATGTATTAAATTATATCCCGAGACCCTTCTAAAGTCAGGCCTTGTGGGAGTCACAGAGGGGAAACTGACCGAAGTGATATATTGACTTGGTATCTTCTTTAACTTTGTACTTTTGAAATGAAGACAATGTATGCTTCCTGCTCAAGTGTTTCTTCATTCATTCTTTCTTTCTTTCAGCAAATGTTAACTACCTAGACTATGCTAGGTACTGTTCTAACTAGAACATGGGATGCAAGAGTGAACTAAGTAGATAAAAATCTCTACCCTTATGGGATGTATATTCTAGTGAAGAGAAACAGACATTAGACAAATGTCTTATAATTCACATAATTGCATATCCAAGAAATATTGGACATACTATTATAATATGTCCAATGGTGAAAAACACTATAAAGAAAGAAAGTAGCAGGTTGTTTTTTTTTTTAGTTGTAGATGGATATAATTTTTATGTGGAGCTGAGGATCGAAACCAGTGCCTTACACATGCTAGGCAAATGCCCTCCACTGAGCCACCACCTCAGCTCCAGAAAGTGGCAGTTTTAAATAGGGTGTCCTTGCTGAGATTCACTGTAGGGAAAATCCAATAAGTTCGTGAAACAAGGGGATATCTGGAGATATAGCTGGTGGAGTATATCCCAGTCAAAACAAACGAAAGACCTCAAGGCCAACTTGTAATTGATGTGCTTAAGGAATAGCAAGGGAGCCCATATGTGGAGCAGAATGAGCAAGAGGGAGATGTCAAAAGAGGGGGATGGAGGGGCAGGCAGTGTGGAAATGTGAGGTCTGTTGGTCCCAAAGACTAAGTAACAATACCTAAAAGCATTTTAAGGCATGACACAAAACCAAATTTAGCTCATATGCTCTCCAATTCTACATTGCTCTAGGGGAATTCAACATCTGAAGGGAGAAGATAATGTCCAGACTTTGCACTTTTTTTCCATATTTTTTTTATTGGGCATAATAATTATATGTAATAGCAGGATTCACTGTTACAGAGCTTGGCACTTTCAGTTCTCCATGTTACTGAATACTTACCACAAACTTTAATATTATTACAATTATCCCCATTTTATGATTAAGGAACTGATTCAGAGATGCTAAGTGCATATCTAAGGTGGTACAATTTATATGTATCAAAGTTTAGATTTCAATCTAGCAATCTCATTTTTCCCTAAACTGTTCTTAATTCTCAAAATGTGTGCACTTTACTATTTAGAAATTTTACTGCAAAAACCCCAAACAAATAATATGACCTACTTTTCCCAAATCTTGCTCTGGGGGAGTTTAATCAAAAACAAATGGAGACCAAAATCCTTCAGATAGTACTTTTCACTAGTAACAATGTAATGTCTTTGGCAAGAAATGAATTATTTTCCATTTATTTTATTTTCAAATTTCTGAGCATCTGAGATCCTGGCCTGGGAGAGTCACTATCAGGCTCAGAACCAGGAGCCCTCAGTGGTAACAATCCCTGGTACACCCCCCACTCTAAAAAAAAAGTATTAGAAACCCTGATGTTGGTTCCCTTAAGGATTGTTTCATACTAACAAAACAAAACAAACAAACAAAACATGGAAAATAATCAAAATGTTTACCAGTAGGAAATTAAAATTATTTAACAATATTATAAAAGACTGGGAAGACTCCAAAAATTTTCTGTGTTTATGTTCTTTGGGAAGATAAATACTTCATATAAAGTGGAAAAAAAATTAAGGTTAGATAACAGTATTTGTGATATGATCTCATTTTGCAGAGATTGAGGAAAGAATACCTGCTTTACATGCAAAAGACTTGAAATAAATCTTGAAATAACCCCCCCTCATCAGTCTCAAAATATTACAGATCATACTAAAAAATTAAACATCAATTTAAGCTTCTGCATATGTTATCAAGTTCAAACAAATCTCCTTCTACACTAACTCAATTATTTTTAAATTGCTGCCTGATTTCTCCCTATGGAATATCTTCAAAAGCCCTTCAAAATTTAATTTTGTGCTGTTAAACAGGCACCTACTCTGAGGAAAGCCAAAGGATTGACCTGAAAAGAAACACAAATGGAGACCAAAATCCTTCAGATAATACTTTTCACTAGTAACAATGTAATGTGTTTGGCAAGAAATGAATTATTTTCCATTTATTTTATTTTCAAATTTCTACCCTTAACATATTTCTTAAAAGCACTGTGTTTCAAATTAATTATTTTCATGTATTTAGTTGAGAATTTAAAATTATTTTTTGATTTTTTTAAAAAAGTCACCATACTTTTTAATTTAGAATATTCCTGGTAATGTAAGTGTTTTTAAAAAATAATTAGTGATCTGTATAAGGCAATACAAATATCTTAATTTATCATTTGGCTATATAAACATACTTTAAGTACATATTTAAAATTAAGACTATCTAATTATTAGAGAGTAATAGTAACCAAATTCTTTTATATGCACATACCTATTATTGTTATTTGTATGTGAATATGACCCATGAAACCCACTATTTTATGTAATTAATATACACCAATAAATAAGAGAATATCTAATTCTATATGCATTTTATAAAAGTAGCCAAATAAAATTCTGGGTTTGCAATTAAGTTGTATGTAAGAATTTAAACTCACCTCCTCCTTGTATCCAACCATTTTGTACCACTCGATGAATAATTGAATCTTTATAATGTAACCTTATGCCACTTTGAGAAAACCCTGCTCTTCCTGTGCACAGGAACTGAAAATTTTTACATGTTTTGGGACATACATCACAATATAGCTAAAAAATAAAGACGAAAGGTTTCAAAGATGAAATATTTTAACATCTTAACAATCATAGATGCTTCCCAACTTTTTTAAAAAAAGGCAACATCCTCTTACCTCAAAAATCAACCGTCCAATTGGATAAAAATTAATCTTAATGTCCAAGAATACAAAAACATGCTATTAAAATTAGGGAGAAAAAGATAATGCAGGTCAATTTTATAGAAATGTTATAGAAATGACCAAAAATATAACAGAAATGTTTTCAGTGATAAAACTTTAATAGCATTACCAATAAATAACAGAGAAATCAAATGAATGACAAAGATCATTTTATTTTCTTTTACCAAGTCTTTACAACTCACATGACATATTTTAAAAACTTTGTTTTTCATTATATATTTTTAAAACCTTTCAGTAGTGAGGTTTTGAAAAATGTTAACTGATCACAGGATATGAGAACACACGGCCTAGCTATCCACCACATCACAAATTCCACAAGGCAAGGGAAACTGGTCAGTTCCCCTGGGAAAAGAAACAGACTGGGAATTCTTTTCTACTTCTGTTTTCTTTCCTGAATAGTTCTGAGAAAACATCCATCCTGAGTGCCATGGATTTGGTTACCAGGTGTTCTGGATTTTCAGAGAGCACAGATTAGTTAGCCAGAGCCAAGCACAGCACAAATTAGCTTTCCAAGTGGAAAAATGAGGCCTCTATATCTACAGGAGGTGTGGCACTAGGGGTAGGGAAGAGAAGGAGACTGAGTCATCTTCAAAAATTCTCTTACATGCACAACTGCCTCCAGCTCTTGTTTTCACTTAGTACCCTTCCCAGTAGAGATGACTATTTTCGAGACCTTGTCTGATACTTTAAAGAAGCATCTGAACTGAAAACACTAGTCTTCATTAATATAGCTTTCACTTAGGGGCCATAGCACAGCTAATGGAGTACTCTAAATCTTGGATACCATATTCATATACACCAAAGTGCCACCTTTTTTTTAATGAGGTGCATAACTTGGCCTAACCTCTTTCTTAAGAATCTGGGAAACGTAAATGATATCATCTTAAAATATATTATTTATGTCACTATAATTAACTTGTTAGGGCTTCTCAGTTTCTGCACAAGTTCTTAATTATAAAAGAGAATATTATAAATGAAGAATGGGAAACATAGTAAACTTCACAGTTTAAGAGGAAAAAAGTCTATAATGTAAGTCATGATTGACTGAGAAAATAAGTAAGTTCATTCAGGCATGATTAAACTTCCACGTTCATCAATAGGTTATCTTTAGTGGTTGCCAAGAGTATATAATTCTGAAAATGCTGATGAAGAGATCTAATAAATGCAACACCAGGTAATTTCCTAGTCACCAGCAACCAAACATATAAACATACTTGTTTAGCATATGGTTCTAACCTGGAAGTAAACAAGTCCCTGGGTTTGACTCAGCAAGAAAAGTCTACTTCTCAGGCTCTTCTCTGGAATCAAGGACCTCCATCCTCACTGCCACCAATTAATCCAGGCTTTCATTATTCCTGGCCCATGCTACTATAGCAACTTTCCACTATAGCAACTTTCCAAACAGCTACCCTGCTCGGCCTGCTTTGGCACGGTCCTAAATTTTTTTCTAAAAGAGGAAAAAGGATATGACATACTCTTTTTATGAAAAGTTCTGTTGGCTTGGTTTCCTTCTGGATAAAATCTGGCTCCTTGGTTCAGAATGGACAGTAAATCATAATCTGGCTGAGAAATTATAATTTCTTTATTATCTATTATTTTTTTTCCTCCTTTTTCTTAACTTCTGAACACTCTTTCTGGTGGGAAATTCCCTGCAGGGCTCAACTGCTCTCACTAGAACCTAAAGGGGCCAGATCCTCCCTCTCCCCCAGCCTATGACAACCAGGTTGTGGCAATAAAACTGGGGCTTGCCAGACAAGTCCTCCTGCCTGGGGCCCTGGAGCTCCAAGGAGTGGTACAGAGACAAAAGGGCAGTCCAGGTCTCAATGATGGTGGCTCTGTGAATTTAAAGCCAGCAGCACCTGCCTGCAGCAACATCCTGGGACACATTCCTGCCACATAACTCTTGCCATGTTTTTACCTATCTGGCCTTCCTTGGTTTCCTGTTTTTCAAAGCAGGTTCTCCAGCTTTCCTGTCAACTGTCAGATAACCAACATAATTTCAATACATACCCTTTCCTTAAGTAGCTTGGTGCTGTTGGCACCAACAGTCTTGGCTGATATTCTCATTTCCTTGTCTCATTTCCTACTATTTATGGCTTCCTTGTTGTTCCATCATTCCCAGAATATACCATGTACTTTCAGACTTCTGACCCTTGAACATTTCTCCATACACCCCAGAGTTTCTAGCATTTTCAAACTGCACTGCTTATTCAACCCAACATTCACTGAGCACCCACAATGTTTCATTTTGGTTCAAGGTAGTAGTTAAATGAGGATCCATAAAGCAAGGTCTCTGCCTTTGCATATTTCAGATCCTAGCAATGTGTCACTTTGTGTATACAGGCCACCATGGGCTTAAAATGATTTCCAGGAGGTGATAGTTGTCAGTACAACCAAGTCTCAGAGCAAAATTACAAAGTATCTTTACCTGTATTGCCATCCTAATGCCTGTCTCTCACCTCCCTGGACCTCATGTTTCTCACCATCCTCTGTCACTGGAAACTGCCAGTGCCTGTGAGGTCTGCTCTCACCAACTATGTGTCATGCTTTAAAATCTCACACTTTTCCCCCCTTTCCTTCCTCTTCCCTTCTTTACTTTTCTTCCTCCTTTTCCTTCTTCTTCTTCTTTCTCTTCTTTTTCCCTATCCCTGTCTTTCTCCCTCTTTCTTTCTTTCTTTTTTTTTTTTTTTTGGCATGCTGGAGATTGAACCCAGGGGAATTCTACTATTAAGCTTCATCCCCAGTCCCTTTTATTTTTTACTGTGGCACAAGGTTTCGATAAGTTGCTCAGGTTGGTGTTGAACTTAGATCCTTCTGCTTTAGTCTCTCTAGCTGATGGGACTACAGAAGTGCACACAGGGAGGGCTGGGGTTGTGGCTCAGTGGTAGAGCGCTCGCCTAGCACATGTGAGGCCCTGGGTTCTATCCTCAGCACCACATAAAAATAACTAAATAAAATAAAGGTATTGTGTCCAGCTACAACTAAAAAATAAATTAATAAAAAAAGAAGTGCAGACAGGGGTTTGTATATTTTAAAGTGGATAATTCATGCAAATAAATCTATAAAATGGAGGAGAAATGTTTGAGCAGAGAGTTCTCCCCATGCAGCTTACCTACTGAGAAATAACGCTTGCTCTATAGCACCAAGCCAAACTTTGCCTTCCCACAGTCTTTCGCAAATGAATCTTAATAGTCACCAAAGGCTTATACCCATGGCTCCTACCTTTTATATTCCTTTTGTTAGAATATGAATAATGAATGCTGAGGTAACATAAATGATCAAAAATTTCACTATTTTACTTTGTAAAAAAATAAATCAATATAACTTGCCTTGGTGTCTCTCAAGAATTTTGTGGAAAAATCCACAGTAAGTGCCTCATAAAGTGCAGGGGGCTTAATATCAACTATATCCCACACCTTGTGGGCCCATTTCTGCAGATCAGATGCATCACCGAGGAATTTATCATTAATAAAACACATCACATTGGAAGAATATTCCCATGTTTCATCCTTGAGTTCCTATAGGAAAAGACAAAAAAAAAATGTAATGAAGGAAAGAAAACAAACAAACAACTTCTATCCATAAGCCAGAATTTGGAATCAACTCTAGGATTGAATATTTTAAAAATATGCTTTTACCATCTTTCAAAAGTCTTCAGTGAAAGAGAATTTAAGAATACTTTAAGTAATCAAAGATCATGAAAGCACAGAATTATTTAAAAAACTAATCTTAATATGCTGAGCATACTTATTATATTAACTCAGAAACAAAGTGCAACTCTGGCCAGGCAAGGTGGCATACACACATAATCACAGCAATTTGGGGTGCTGAGGCAGGAGGATCACAAGTTTAAAGGTGATCTTCGCAATTTAGTGAGACCTTCTCTCAAAATGAAGTAAAGGGATAGGGATGTGAGTAGTTCAGTGGTAGAATGTCCCTGGGTTAAATACCAGGGGGGAAGAAGAAAAGAGCAGTCTCTGTCTTCATTTACCAAACACATTTTACTATGTCCATACTTGGGAAGGCTAGGGATTCTGGGTAAGGGATGATTTTATTTCTTTTCTTTGTTAGTACTGGGGATTAAACCCAGGGGTGCTTTAACCATTAAGCTACATCCCCAGCTCTGTTTAATATTTGTATTTTGAGACAGGGTCTTGCTAAGTTGTTTAGGGCCTCACTAAGTTGCTAAAGATGGCTTTGAACTTGTAATCTTGCCTCCAGAGCTGCTGGAATTATAGGCTGGAATTACACGATGTCCAGCTAAGGGATGATTTTTCAATGCAAACTATTAAGAGAATTTTTTTTTTTTTTTTTTTTTTTTTTTTTGGTATAGAGGGCAAAAATGGAGGGGCTAACCTTTAGGAAAATGCCTCCTGAGAGGCCAGCAGGGATTTTCAAAACCCAGTCAGGCAATGAAGAAGCCCCTCAAAATAAATGTGTCAGTGTCTTCATCCACAAAATGCTGCTGGTCAACCTCCTGAATCCTTAGTGCATGGCTACTGAGTTACATCCCCTCTGAAATCTGCCGATTATCAAGTGCCAGCTGTGGAAAACCATGAATATCTTTGTACAGCCATTCTCAAACTGTAGTGGGCTTTGGAATCACAGATTCCTAAGGCCCATCTGACTTTCTGATTGTGGGATGGGGCCTTAGAATTTGCGTTTCTAAACATCCAAGGAGACACTGATGCTGCTGGTCTGGAGACTGTACTTAAAAAAATAAGTTTGAGGGAACAGTTTGCCTCCAACTTGCCAACTTGGCCATTCCCAGCTTCTCCCACAAGATTTAATATCCTGCTGCTTGTTTCCCATGATCCTCTCAAAACCTGCTTCCTGGCAGAGAAAAACTTCTTCATGTTCTACCATAAATCATTGATAGAAACTATGTGTCAATAGTTCCTAGAATGTTCAATTTATCAGTATTATATTTTCTAGACCCAAAACCCAAAAAGGAAGAAAAAAATCTAATCATGAACATTTTAGTTAGCCTTATGGGAGAAATGCAGTAGATGGTACGTTTTATTTAGAGGCTAAAGGTTAAAATGCCTTATCTCTGCCTCTTCTGTACATAAGGAGACTCCTTGCTTGCCTCAAGATAGCAGACTGGACCTGGTAGTTTCTAGGACTTTTCATCCAGGATCTATGATGCAGCCTTTTTTAGAGGGGAGAGAGAGGCCCTTCCAAAGACCTGAAGCCATCCCTTGAGAGAGGCATTAAATTCTGCTGAAGCATAAGGCCAGCTGGCCTAATGAACTGATTCAGTAAGACCACATGCACTAAGAAGCACTTCATATAACATAAGACACAAAGCTCTCATTAAAGAAGGACCAAAAGACTGACTTGAAAAGGAAGAAAAGGTTAAGGTGACAGACATCCAGAGGATGAGTGTGGCAGAGGAAAGAAAGTAAAGATAAGGAATAAAGTATAGGTGGCAAGAAGCAGCCATGATTAACTAGGAAGCCTCAACGAGAAAGACAGCAGGAGAGCACAAATCACCTCCAGGCAGTGCAGATTGGAGAGGGAGGAGGCTGGCGAGTAAAATTTACACTTTTTTTTCCCCGTAGTACTGGGGATGGGATGGAATCCAGGGGTTCTCTACAACTGAGTACATCCCCAGTCCTCTTTAGTTTTTTGTTTTTTTTTTTTTGAGACAGGGTCTCACTAAGTTGCCCAGGTTGGCCTTGAACTTGTGATCTTCCTGCCTCCAAGCATTGAACCCCAAATCACTGTGTCCAGCTAACTGGTCTTTAAGAGGACAATGGGAATGTACAAGAAGACCAGGTGCAATCCACAGACCATGACATCACAGTTTTCCTATAGGCAGAGGGCATGAGACTGGAAGGCAGTATTATGTTTGATAATAAAAATTTAGAAAAAGTATTGTTTATGTTAGGGTGATGAACTGTTCCAATTTGCCTGTGACTGTCCTACATTCCAGGAAGCCTCTCAGTCTCAGGCAGCTAGGACCATTGGTAACCCCAGTTGTGTAAGGAATAGGTGTGTGTGTGTGTGTGTGTGTGTGTGTGCGCGCGCGCATGTATACACATACACATATATATGTGTTTACCATTGTTCTTTGTGAATTCTTATGAAAATGGCTACAAAAGTATGATGAGACTTAACAAATGCTATTCTTTCTTTCTTTTTTTTTTTTGGTACTAGAGATTGAACCCAGGGGCATTTAACTCCTGGGTTACATCTCCCTCCCTTTTTTATTTTTTACTTAGAGACAGGGTCTTGCTGAGTTGCTTAAGGTCTTGATAATTTGCTGAGGCTGGCTCAGCCTCCTGAGCTGCTGGGATTACAGGCATATGCCATGGTGCCCAGCCTATTCTTGGTATTCTTGACTCAGTCTTGCAACATTCATGTGACTGAAGAGAGAGTGAAGTGGTCTTATAAAGCAACACTATTTACATTGAACCTAATTACAGGATCACAGGATATCCTTATGCAACCAAGCATTGAACGACTGAAACTGCTCAGATCAGGGAAATGGAAATTTCATCATCTACTGGAGAAACGAGGTGGAGCACAGAAACCAGGACTGGGAATCCTGTGCAGGACTAAACCAGGAAAAAGAAGCAGGAAGTAGAACCCTTTCTACACGCCCCAACATGAGAGATTGCTGAGCCAGATCACCACCTTCTTTTCTCTTTTTCACATGCTCCAGGCACAACTATAGAGAGACCAGGGTGGCACAAAAGAGGAGCCCTATCTACCATCCCTGGACAAGCTCCACTCGCCCTGAAGTCTGGGATTTTCCAAGGGTAATGGCAGAAGGGAGAATGGGGAAAAAGGAGCACCAACTGAGACAGGATGCCCTGTGAGAGCTTCAGGCTGTCATACAAGTGCCTCTGTGCAACAGTGTCACACAAACCCTCGGCTATCTGTATGATGTACAACACCGGCTCCTTCCAGAGTAAGAGCCAGGCCACAGCAACTTGAGTGCCAGGTTATCACAGGAAGAGAGGGTTAACCATCAGCAGGGATAAATAACACCACGGAGGATTTTAAACTTACCTTTATCACATGTTCTCCAAAGGAAAATTTGGTAAATATTCTAGTTTTTTAAAAAAAAGTCCATCTAGTAAAATGATTGAAATCATTTAGGAAAAGCACATCATTTAGAGAAAAAAAATCTAGTTTCATAGGGCTAGGGCTGTGGCTCAGAGATGGAGTGCTTGCCTATCATGAGTGAGGCACTGGGTTTGATCCTCAGCACCACATAAAAATAACATGAAGATATTGTGTCCACCTATAACTACAAAATAAATATTTTTTAAAAATCTAGTTTCATTAAAAATAACTTTCATTTTGTTCCCAAAACAACGCACAGATAAATAATTCAGGCTAAATTTTGCTTGTTGTCAACATCCCCCATGTCCCAAATATCCTTTACCCTTTTTTTCTCCTGCAGATATTGATACCATGCAAATTCTTGAAGAGGAACCATTATAGGATCTTCAAATTTGGATGGATAATTCATCTTCAGACTCTAGGTTTCAAAATACAATAGTTAGTTTAAAATTAATTCTCTTTTAAAGTCAAAATCATTTCCCCAAATTTTTATGGAGTCTCCAGAAAGTTTTATGCAGCCCATACCTAGGCCACAGTCTGACTGAGATGCCCTGTTCTGCTCTCTGCCCACACTAGGACACGGAGCTTATTTGTCTCTGACTTCTAGAATATAAGCTCCTGAGGGCAAGAACTATGTCTTGGCCTTCCTGTATGTCCTTCTACTATCGAATCTGGCTCATAGTAAATCATTCACTCATGACAATTGAAAAAACAAATGAGTTTATGCCAATAGTTTTGTGATCTGCTTCTTTCAGGACAAATTTTTCCTTAAATTAAACTCTTGCTAAATCTCAGTGGTTCTAATTAGTTTACTTGAATTAAAATAAGTAAATATTACTGCTGTAATTCACTGATGTAAGGAGATCAAAAGGATACTGTGGTTATACCCCTTAGGAAAAAGATAAGTAAATACTAAATAAATTTAGGTGTAGAATTTAGGTATAGTATTGAGTATGTTTTGGTTGAACATACAATTTTTTGTATGAATCACAGAAAAAATTTATTTATTTATTTAGATGGTATTGGGGATCATGCTCAGAGCCTTATATACGTTAGGCTATAGAAAATTCTTACGGGTATTGACACCAAAACAGACTGGTAGACCAATGGTACAGAATAGAGGACACAGAGACTAACCCACAAAATTACAATTACCTTATATTAAACAAAGGTGCCAAAAACATGCATTGGAGAAAAGATATCTTCTTCAACAAATGGTGCTGGGAAAACTGGAAATCCATATGCAACAAAATGAAATTAAACCCCTATCTCTCACCATGCACAAAACTCAAAGTGGATCAAGGATTTAGGAATAAAACCAGAAGAAAAAGTAGGCCCTAATCTCCATCATGTGGGATTAGACCCCAACTTCCTTAATTAGATTCCTTTGGCACAAGAATTAAAATCAAGAAACAATAAATGGAATGGACTCAAAATAAAAACCTTCTTCTCAGCAAAAGAAACAATCTATGAGGTGAATAGAGAGTCTACATCTTGGGAGCAAATTTTTACCCCTCATACATCAGATAGAGCACTAATCTTTAGGGTATATAAAGAATTCAAAAAGTTAAACACCAAAAAACAAAAACAAAACAAAACAAAAAACCCGATCAATAAATGGGCCAAGGAACTGAACAGACACTTCTCAGATGATGATATACAATCAACAAATATATGAAAAAAATGTTCATCATCGCTAGCTTTAGAGAAATGCAAATCAAAACCACTCTAAGGGCTGAGATTGTGGCTTAGTGGTGGAGCACTTGCCTGGCATGTGTGGGGCATTGGGTTCGATCCTCAGCACCACATTTAAAATAAGTAAATAAATGAAGTATTGTGTCCATCTATAATTAATAAAAATATTTTTTAAAAAAACCACTCTAAGATTTCATTTCACTTCAGTTAGAATGGCAGTTATTATGAAGACAAACAACAATAAGTGTTGATGAGGATGTGGGGGAAAAGGTACACTCATACATTGATGGTGGGACTTCAAACTGGTGCAGTCAATATGGAGAGCAGTATGGAGATTCCTTGGAAATCTGGGAATAGAACCACCATTTGATGCAGCTATTCCTTTTCCTCTGTCTATACCCAAAGGACTTAAAAACAGCATACTACAGGGACACAGCCACATCAATGTTTATACCAGCACAATTCACAATAGCTAAACTGTGGAACCAACCTAGATGCCCTTCAATAGATGAATGGATTAAAAAATGTGGCATATATATACAATGGAATATTACTCAGCAATAAAAGAATAAAATCATGGCATTTGCAGGTAAATTAATGGAGTTGGAGAAGCTAATGCTAAGTGAAGTTAGCCAATCACAAATAACCAAATGCCAAATGTTTTTCTTTGATATAAGAAGGCTGATTCATAGTGGGATAGGGAGTGGGAGCATGGGAGGAATAGATAAACTCTAGATAGGGCAGAGGGGTTAGAGGGGAAGGGAGGGGGCATGGGGTAATTAATGATGGTGGAATGTGATGATCATTATTATCTAAAGTACATGTATGAAGACATGAATTGGTGTGAACATACTTTGTATATAACCAGAGATATGAAAAATTGGGCTCTATATGTGTAATAATAATTGTAATGCATTCCGCTGTCATATATAAATTAAAAAAAAGAAAACTCTTACAGGTTAGCAATTCTGTAGCTCAGTGGCAGAGTGCTTGCCTAGCATGCTTGAGGCACTGGTTTCGATCCTCAGCACCACATAAAAATAAACAAATAAAATAAAGGCATTCTGTCCATCTACAACTACAAAAAAAAATTTTTTTTAAACTTTTAATTAGACCAGAGACCCTCCACCTAATAGAGGAAAAAGTAGGCCCAAATGTTCATCACGTCGGATTAGGCCCTGACTTCCTTTTTATTTATTTATTTATTATTATTTTTTTATTAGCTACACATGACAGTACAATGATCTTGAGAATTCATACATTTGAATCAAATGGGGTATATTTTCTCACTTTTCTTTGTACAGGTTGCAGAATCACATTGGTCATGCAGTCACATATATACATACAGCAATAATAATGTCTATTTTATTCTGCTACCCTTCCTATCCCCCCTAATCCTCCCCTCCCCTCCCATCATTTCTCTCTATCCAATCTAATGTGACACACTTTTTTTTCTCCTCACAACATCATACATGCATTCTGTATAACGATGAGGGTCTCCTTCCATCTTCCGTGCAACTCCCCTTCTCCCTCCTTTTCCCTCCCACCTCTCTTCCCTATTTAGTGGTAAACTTCTTCTCATGCTCTTCCTCCCTATCCCATTTTGAGTCACCCCCCCTTTATATCAGAGAAGACATTCGGCATTTGTTTTTTAGGGATTGGCTAACTTCACTTAGCATAATCTGCTCTAATGCCATCCATTTCCCTGCAAATGCCATGATCTTATTATTTTTTAGTGCTGAGTAGGCCCTGACTTTCCTTAACAAAACTCCTAAAGCGCAAGAAATAAAATCAAGATATATAAATGCAATGGACTCAAACTAAAAAGCTTCTCAGCAAAAGAAAAAATCAATGAGGTGAAGAGAGAGCCTACATTTTGGGAGCAAATTTTTGCCACATGCACGTCCAATAGAGCACTAATCTCCAGGATATATAAAGAACTCAAAAAACATAACACCAAAAAAGCAAAGAACCCAATCAATAAATGGGCTAATGAACTGAACAGACACTTCTCAGATGATGATATACATTCGATCAACAAATATATGAAAAAATGTTCAACATCTCTCGTAATTAGAGAAATGCGAATCTAAGCTGAGATTTCATCTCCAATCAGAATGGCAGCTATCAAGAATACAAACAACACGGGCTGGGGATGTGGCTCAAGTGGTAGCGCGCTCGCCTGGCATGCGTGCGGCCCAGGTTCGATCCTCAGCACCACATACAAACAAAGATATGTTGTGTCCGCTGATAACTAAAAAATAAATATTAAAATTCTCTCACTCTCTCTTTAAAAAAAAAAAAAAAAAAAAGAATACAAACAACAATAAGTGTTGGTGAGGATGTGGGGGGAAAGGCACACTCATGCATTGCTGGTGGGACTGCAAATTGGTACAACCAATCTGGAAAGCAGTATGGAGATTCCTTGGAAAACTTGGAATGGAACCACCTTTTTACCCAGCTATCCCACTCCTCAGTCTATTCCCAAAGGTCTTACAATCAGCATGCTATAGTAATGCAGCCACATCAATATTTATAGCAGCTGAATTCACAATAGCTAAACTGTGAAACCAACCTAGATGCCCTTCAATAGACGAATGGATAAAGAAACTGTGGTATATATACACAATGGAATATTATTCAACATTAAAAGAAAATAAAATTATGGCATTTGCAGGTAAATGGATGGAGCTGGAGAATATCACGGTAAGTGAAAGAAGCTAATGCATAAAACCAAAGGCCAAATGTTCTCTCTGATAAGTGGATGCTGATCCATAATGAGCAGGGGGGGCTAGGGAGCATAGGAAAAATGGAGGAACTATGATTGGGCAAAGTGGGGGTGAGGCAGGGGTATGGAGGCAGGAAAGATGGTGGAATGAGATGGACATCATTACCCTAGGTACGTGTATGACTGCACATATGGTGCAACGCTACATCCTGTACAACCAGAGAAATGAAAAGTTGTGCTGCAGCTGTGTACAATGAGTCAAAATGCATTCTGCTGTCATATATACCTAGTTAAAATAAACAAATGAATAATTTTTAAAAGTTTTGTTCTTGATATTAGTTTCACTGTATCCCCCTAAAGCAAGAGAAGGCAGTGGAAGCAACAACAATTAGGCCCCACTTTCCCAGCAGGTCTGAGAAGTGGTTGGGCTAACTGGGAAAAAGTAATAGCTGCTGGAGTAGGCACCTTGTCAAAGTGAGGCTGGTGCTTAGAGACCCTGTTGTGGACTGAAAGGGCACTAATTTGGCACATTTCATCAGGGGTGAGTATTCCAAGGGAAAGAAATCCAGGACATAAGTGCGTACTACTTTGGGACTCCGGAGAGCAAAAGAGGAAAACAGTGGTAGGGCCATTTCCTTCTTAGACTACTGTATCCAACAAAAACAACAATGTCTGGTTGCTCAGTTCCACTTTCTGTGCTCTGTTTGATGAAATCCTACAGGATGACTGCTGTTTCTAACTGAGGAATTAACTGGAGTAACCAGCAAACCCAGTAGTATTCAAATTAAGCACATCATACTTTTCTTTATAATTTAGCATTTGGTCTGGAATCAACTACGTCCAAATTAAAATATATCTACTTATCCTTACCCTTTATGAATCTTAATCTTTTATAGCAAATCAGGGATCTGAGATTGCTCATAAATGATCATGCCAGGAATATAATCACATAACCTCTATTAAGACAGAACTAACTGAATTTACACTGATATGTTTTCATATTTGATAGTGTTACTGTAGGCAAAAGCTTAAGAAAGGGGAAATTACATTATTAACATATCAAAGATATTGTTTTCTTGACTTAGCAGGGGTTGGTCCACTGTCTATTTTGTAAGGCCTGAAAGCCAAGATTAATTTTTAGATTTGCAAATATTGAAAAAAATCAAAAGATAAGTCATATTTCATGTCATGTGAAAATTCAGTGTTCATAATAAAGCTTTATTGGAACACCACCATTCATTTATATATCTGTGGCTACTTTTATAATATCAGGACAAAGTTGAATACTTGTGAATGAGACCCTATGGCCCACTTATATTTACTACCAGGCATAGAAAACATGGGCCTTCAGAAAAGGAGCTAAGAAAAACAAGAATGTTCTTATTAAATAAAATTTTGCACATAAAATGTTACTAGCCCCATCAGCCCATAATTTCCACTTCTTTTGATCAACCTGTATCATATTCATAGATGTCCCAACACCTGTTTTCTTCACTTAAACTTTCCTTATTTTGCAAGTTATTTTTTTTATTTTACTCTGTAGATTCTGGAACAGGCAAGAAGGCCTGCTTAAGATGAATTCTATATGGAATAACATTTTGTTATCCAATATCCAGCAGGATACTTTGGTAGATAAAAATACCAATAAGACATGTTTGTGGGGTCTAGTGAGGCTTTGAAGAGAAACTTGGCTTGGCGAGTACTTTTGCAACAAACCCCAAAGACCAGTGGAATATTACATTTCAACATTTCATCACTGGCAGTATGAGTGACATGGCCAAATTCTTTAGTTTCTTTCAGTGGTTTCTTTTTAAGCCATTTTGCATATTTACAAAGAAATTTTGGGATTGTTCAAAGCACTTGGGGCCACTTGTTAAGAAATCCGTGCGGCATTTTTTTCTGCCAGAATGTAGTGATTGTTATAGCAATTAAAAAAAAAAAATCTTACCAAGTGAATAGTTTTCGAAAATCACTTGGGGAAGGAGTTTGTAAAAATCCACGAGTTAGAGTAACACTTTAAACTTTTTTGTCATGAGTTTTAATAAATCTGTAATTCAATTTTTAAAATTAATGTGGAATAAAATGTGTAAATACGTAGGAGTAGTAATTACTATTTTTCCCAGGAAGGTTCTGAATACTTCCTTTGCTGGGATCTCCCTTTACACGTCACCCTACTCCAAGCCAAATGCCCGCCCCTGACCCGAATGTGTCCTCTCTGCGCTCCCGGGGTGGTCCCAGCCAGCCCAACCTTCCTCCAGTAGAACATCCACCGGCCTGCACCAGACAGCGAGGCGCATAATCCACGCCGCGAGGCCGGGAAGCCTGGAGGGTCGCCGCATTGGGGGTTTTCCTGCGGTTACCTCAGCAGTAGACTTCGCAACCTGAAAGCTGGAGCTTTTGAAGATCCCCACCACTTTCACCTGCAGCGGCCGCTCGGGCGGCGACTTAGAGCTGCATGGGGCGGGAGTGGGCCGCAACCTCTGCAAGCGGTCCATTGCGGAGCTAGTAGACTAACCCCGAGCAAAAAAAAAAAAAAAAAAAAAAAAACAAAAACACACACGCGTTGCCACGGCAACCTCGCGGCCCCGCCCCCGACGCCAGCAGTGGGCGGGGCAGGGTGGAGCAAAGGGCCGGCGGCGTGGGCGGGGCCTCTCAACTTGCCGCCTGTTGCTGGTGAGCCAGGCCCCGGGCCGAGAAGGGGGCCAACCGAGGGATTTGTGGGCTGCGGCTGCCGGGAACCAGCCTCGGGGCAAAGGATCACGGAGCCGCCCGCCCGGGAGCCCTCTCGGGTACCCCAGGGGCCTCGAGCGCATCCTTCTCCAGCCCGCGCACGCCGGGTATCTCAGATCTCTTTTCCGGGTTAGCGCGCAGCCTTATCTAGGCCAGCGGGCGGGTTGTGCTGGTAACACGGGAATCAGCCCGAGGCCGGAGCTGCGTGGGTGTGGGGAGTGCGGGGTCCCGGCTGGCATCGCCCGGGGAGAAGGCACCACTCGCCTGTTCTTGTTCTCGCCCCCGCCAGGGCCGTCTCGGGGAAGCAAACTGACTCCCGCCCCGGAACATCCCCGCCATGAAGCCCAACTTCTCTCTGCGCCTGAGGGTCTTCAACCTCAACTGCTGGTGAGTTCGCCGGCCGAGTGCTGCCTGGGGGCCTCCTTCCCTTTCGCACCCGCACAGCCAGAGGGAGGAGGGAGCCCTTCCTCACAGCTGGATCACGACCCCATCCTGCCTCCAGGATCTCGGGTGTAGGGGAAACTCGAACCGACAGGTCGCCCGTATCGGCCCCAACTCCAGTGGTACTAGCAGTCACCTTCCCTGGCCCGCCTTTCCCTTCCCTTCCTTAGGGGTCTTCCCTACGTGAGCAAGCACCGTTCTGACCGCATGAAGCGTCTGGGAGACTTTCTGAATATGGAGAGCTTCGACTTGGCTCTACTGGAAGAGGTGGGGATGTGCATCTCTGATATGGATCCCAGGCTGGGAGGAGCTCTGGGAAGGGGTGCTAGAGGAGACACCCACCCCTTGGGGGAAAGGCCAGGCAGGCATGCTCATCCTTCCCTCAGGTGTGGAGTGAGCAGGACTTCCAGTGCCTGAAAGAGAAACTGTCTTTCACTTATCCAGCTGCACACTACTTCAGGAGGTGAGAAGCCTGCAGGCCTGAACCTGTTCTCAGACCAGAGGGTTCTTGATCCTGCCAACCCTTCCCTTTCCCTGCACCTGCCTACCTCCTTCTCTGGGTAAAGGAGCAGGAGAGGGTGAACTGGGAACATTGTATCTTTTCAGCCCATCTCCGCCTATTATCGGGCAGCCCCCTCATCCTCCTGCAGAGGCTGTTGTCTTGAGCTTTGTTCTGAGACTGGTCCCAGCAGTAGAGAGAGAGGAGCTTCATCAGAGCTGGGAAATAAGGAGAGAGAAGAGGGCTGGGTGTTTCCCACCTTTTCTGGTTATTAAGCAGGGCTTGGCTTACAGCGGAATCATTGGCAGTGGCCTCTGTGTCTTCTCCAAACACCCAATCCAGGAAATCATCCAGCATGTCTACACCCTCAATGGCTACCCCTACATGGTAAGTAAGCCTCCCTCCTCACCCCCACTAACACAAGGTAGAGAAGGCAGACTTCCTGGAGCTACAGAGGCTGGGCAGATGGAAGGTGGCAGTGCCATGAGTTCCTGTCTCCTCCTGCTTGCAGATCCATCATGGTGATTGGTTCTGTGGGAAGGCTGTAGGACTCCTGGTGTTCCATCTAAGTGGACTTGTGCTCAATGCCTATGTGACCCACGTAAGTGAAGATACCAGTGCTTAGGGCTTGGACAGGCATTCTAATCCTGGAACTGAGGTGGGATTTCTCTGCTATGTATCTGAGGAGGAGCTATCGGGTAAGGGTTTCCTAAGGTAGCAATAGGGCAAGATTTACCCATTGTGTACCAAATACCTTAACTAGTGACAGACACAAGCTTGATTTACACAGGCTCCTGGGACCCTTAATCTTACTGCTATAATCTCATCTACCTCACTCAGCTCCATGCCGAGTACAGCCGACAGAAGGACATCTACCTAGCACATCGTGTGGCCCAAGCTTGGGAACTGGCCCAGTTCATCCAGTGTGTGAGCCTAGGCTTGACAGGGGAAGTGGGTTGGGACCCAGGGTTTGAGGTGTGGCTAGGATTAGGGCAATGGGGGCAAGGGAAGAATTCCTTCCTCACTGACCTGGCTCACCAGCCACACATCCAAGAAGGCAGACGTGGTTCTTTTGTGTGGGGACCTCAACATGCACCCAAAAGATCTGGGCTGCTGCCTGCTGAGGGAGTGGACAGGACTGCATGATGCCTACCTTGAGACCCAGGATTTTAAGGTGAGAAACTACCTAGCTGTTTTCTCACCTATACTCCCAGTTTCTCTCTCTTCCTGCCCCATATCCTACCATGAACCAGCTACTCCCTAGGGCTTTGAAGAAGGCTATACCATGGTACCCGAGAACCATTACGTCAGCCAGAAGGATCTGGAGCCATTTCCATGTGGCATCCGCATTGACTACGTGCTTTACAAGGTCAGGCTCTCTCCACAGCATGCCTTCACTTACTATGTCTATTACTGTCACCAGCCTATTCTGATCCTTCGTTCAGCTGGTCTAGTCTTAGATTACTGATGGCTAGAGAATGGGATACTGGAAGCTGGTTCTCTGGGAGGAGGCCCTCCAACATAAGATTCTCTCTGGCCCTTTAGGCGGTTTCTGGATTCTGCATCTCCTGTAAGAGTCTCAAATCCACTGCAGGCCATGGCCCCTACAATGGCACCCCCCTCTCTGATCATGAGGCCCTCATGGCTACTCTCTGTGTGAGACATAGTCCCCTCCAGCAAAATCCCAGCTTTACCTATGGTGAGTCACCCCACTCTTTCCCTTGGCTCTTCTCTGTCTCAAGGCAGCCCCTCCACTCTGACCTTTTCTCACCCCACTGCCCTGCTTTGTTCTAGGACCAGCAGGGAGGTTGCCGTTGATCAGTGTGCTGAGGGAGGCCTGGACAGAGCTGGGGCTGGGTATAGCCCAGGCTCGTTGGTGGGCTGCCTTCGCTGGCAATGTGATTGGTGTCGGGCTGCTTCTCCTGGTGTTGCTTTGTTTCCTTGTAGCAGAAGAAAGGGCCAGGGAAGTGGCCATACTGCTTTGGACGCCCAATGTAGGACTGGTGCTGGGGGCAGGCGCAGTCTACCTCTTCCACACGCAGGAGGCCAGAGGCTTGTGTAGGGTCCAGACTGAGCTCCAGCATGTGCTTGGAAGGGAAAGGGAAGCCCAGGACCTGAGCTCAGAGCCTCAGTTAGCTCTGCTCCTGGGGCAGGAGAGGGGACAGAACTGAGGATCAATAAAGCTTGACATTTTAGTGGCTCTGCCTTTTTCCTTGTAGAGGCATTGGTGAGAACCTAGGATCAGTTTGATTGTCACAATGTAGACATTAGGGCTCTGACATATCTTCCCCGCCTGCACACCTCCCCTGTTCCCATCATCATGTATCAAACCCTATCTGTAGCAGAAATATTTTTATTGTCAACAGTGAGGCCTCTCCCAGACAGCCTAGATGAGCAGGGGTGGCATTGTCCTGGGATGAGGTTGTCTTCCTTGTAGGGAAGAAGGTAGGTAGCTCACCATTTTCTAGCCCTGAGCCCCTGTCTCTGAGGCCAGCTCGCTGAGCCTGCGTTCCTCCTGAAAGCGGATGAGGGCATCCCGCTGGTTCACCACATCTACTAGCTTTTTCAGGACCTGCTCCTCAGCCTGCCGATCTGCTGCTGTCTTCAGGGTTTCTGAAAGAGAAGGTGAAACTTAGAGAACAAGGAATTAGCCCGTGTGATTTCTACAACTCAGCTTTGCTTCTTAGCCTGCAAAATGAGGTTACTCCACACCAGTGGTTTTCTAGTATTAGTAGCAGCAGCACCATTTTTTTAAAGATATTTTTGAGTGATGGACCTTTATTTTATTTATTTGTATGTGGTGCTGAGAATTGAACCCAGTGCCTCACACATGCTAGGCAAATGCTCTTCCACTGAGTTATAACCCCAGCCCAGCAGCACTGTTTTTGAAGGAAATTTTGTATAAAAACCCAACTGTGCAGCCCTGATTGTTCAAGAGTGTGGGGGCTTCCAAGTCCCATCTCCTGACTTTCTCCTGATTGTTGCAGAGATACATGAGGAGTTGCCTGATCGAAGTTCATGAGGGGTCCCACGTACCTTCACGGTTCATGTAGCCTCTTAGCTCCTGGTCTAGCTGCCACTGCTTCTCTTCTAGGTCCAGCTCCTGCACCCTGTGGGGGTCAGGGATTGAAGAGGCACAGCTATACAGGGTGCCCACAGGACTGGGCTTAGCTCTGTGCCAATGTCACCATCAGTGTGCCTTACGTGATCATGAGCTCAGCCTCTTCAGCCACTAGGCTGTTTTTCTTTTGGACAAGATGCAGCAGCTGTTCTAACCAGAGTTTCTTTTGCTGTTCTGGGGAACCTAGGAAGAAGGAAGAAGGGTTGGGATGGTCACAAGGCCTCTAGCTAGGAAAACAGGAGTCAGGGGCTTGGGGGGTGACAAGAAAAAAGGGCATTGGTGTGTATAGAGCTGTGTGACTGGACCAGAGCCTGTTGGTTCTGGGGTTCAGCTGGGGACTAAACAAAGTTCTAGGAGACAGAGTGGTGTCCTAGCTTCACTCACTGCTCTGGCTCCTTAAGGCAAGCTCCAGCTCCACGCCTTCAGCTTCCAGCTCCCTCAGGGCAGCCTCAATCTCATTTAGTCGCCGCTGGATTGTCTGAGGGGGTACAAGATTACTCAACAACAGTGCTGGAGGAGCTCTGATCCAAACACAGAACTGTGACCCCTGTGAGAACTTCTAGCAACCCCTAGGCCTCACCTGGGCCTTGCAGAATCTCTTCATCTCCTCCTCCTTAGCCCGGCGCAGCAGAGTTCGGCGCCATGTAGGGTACTTGTTCATGGTGTCCGAGTTCTTGGCCAGTGTCAGCAGGGCCTGTGGGAGA